AAATAGCGAGACGATGATATAGCTACCAATAAAGGCAATATAGCAATACGCTACTGACTATTATATGCTTTCATCACAGTTATTAATGCACTACTTATTTTTTTCAAATTATAAGAACTTAGTTCGAAATGATCAAATTTTCCAGGTTTTTTAAAACATTGTGTTGAATAACTTATGTTTCAGTTCGGTTTTTTAAGTGATTTCCGAGTTTAATCTACTTATTATCACTACAATAGTTATTTAAAGACTCAATCATAAATTAATATGACATGGCATGCTGTGTCGCATAAATTCTCCGGTGATCACCCATTCGAGAACAAGTAGTCAGATGAATGCTTAAAACGATTTTTTTTTTTAACGATAATATATGTTGGCAACTCATAATTAATAACATTATAGATTAAATCATTTTTTTTTTCAGTGAATTTTATGTTTGAAAACGTATATTTTATGATTAATATGATACGTTTATATATTTATTTTGAAACCATAAATGTTGTCGTGTAGATATAGCAGACAGAAGCGTGAGATAACTGATTAATATCTATGTAGAGGAAATTAAAATACAAAATAAACAAAGATGATTGTATTGTACAAACTGTAGATTTATCCGATTCATATAAATGTAAATAAAATAGTATAGAAGATATTATAATATATTATTAAGTATACTTATAGAAAAAATGAAATAAAATGTTTGAAAACTATGAATCAACTTAATAACAAACGATATTGTCGGTGTTATGTCTTTGATTATTTTAAAACTAAAATTAATTGTTACCATTTGGTAGTGTTTAAAACAGAGTGATTAAAATATGTTTAAAAGAAATTTGGAACTTTTGTTAGAGAACTTGTGAACGAAAGTGAAAATGGTATTGTTGTCATTATTTCCAATTATTTTTCAGCCCCTTTCCGGAAACAATCTTATTAAATGTTGTTTACATTTATAAAGTTAAACATGTTACAGCTTCAGTTAATTGAATCTCCAAACTCATTGCGGCCTCTTCGTTTATTAAAAATTGTAAGAGCTAATATTTGAGTACTATTCATTGTGTTATTGTACACTTCTTTTATAATTGTTACACAGTCCAATTTTTAAGGTATCGTGTCTTCTTTTATAATGATTATTTTTCTAATGGCAATATTTAATATACTTGCACCTGATTATTATAATATCCGACATTTTTTCCGGTACTTCAACGTGTTATAACTCATAAGGTTCGTGTCTTATATAGTGTACTTTAGATCAATTTCACGAAATTATCGCTATTGGCGTTGACCCGAAACACCCAAGAGACATTTTTCACTATACAACGGCGGTCTATAAATTATGAAAATACCCATAAGGCCCAAACAGCCTATCCATCAATGCGTATTCAGTTGTCAAACTCGAACGATGGTTCAGAAGCAAGTTATTGATCACAGTAAGTCACTGAACCGTCGAGCGCCTCCATTAAACGAGCGCCGCCGGAGAATTTCTGCGTATGTTTCAACGTGCAAACAGAGTAAAACATCTCTAAACATCCAAATATTTAACTATTCATATTTTTTTGTCATCTCTATAAGATATATTTGTAATCCATTGGTCCATATTTAGTTTGCTAAAAGTCTGTTAAGAGTTAAGACTACTTCAAGACAATAAAGAGTGTGTATTTTTGTAATTTTGTATGAATGCCATTAAATATTTATGACAATACATTTTGTTTTAATATATATTTATCTCTAGAAACAAATAAAAATATGGAGTATTTTTACAGTGGCTTATCAAATAAAAATAGCATGAAGTATAATATTTTTTTTTATTTCGCTCTAATAATATAATGTGTGTCTCTAACTATAAAACAAATAATTGGAATGTTTCCAAAATATATATATTAATACGTATACAATTATTACTTACTTATGCATGCATATATTATAGTCTTAACAAGAAAGGTTGAATTTTATTATATTGTTTGAATAATATTTGATAAACAAAATTAGGTAGATACCTACATAATATCATATAATTTTCCAACAATAATATTTTGTTTAGAATTTAAGTTAGTTGTTACTTGTTCGATTAATTAAATGTTATAATACAATATAATACAAGGGTACGTTTAACCGTAAAAATGGTTCTACCATATAATATCTAAGGTGATTCTATATCTATTGTGATTGTAAGAGCGTATACAAACATAAAATAAATAGGTACTTGAATTTAGTAGACGTCTTACGTAACTAAAATTAAGGTTGCATGTATTTGCACATTGCAATTTAATAGAATAATTAATGTTTTCTATGTACTATATAATTATGCCACTAAAAAAATGTTAATCCGATGTATTTCGTTTCCATATTGAAAAATGATCAGCTAAATAACGATAAAGCGTTCACTAAAAATCCCAAGTAAAATAATTGTCATTTTCATCCGCTTTTACTTGTTTTATAATTGATGCACTTAAACAAGAACAAGACCACCAAATAAATGCATACAATTCCAGTGTATTGGACAGAAATACCAAAACACTACTGTGTATTATTATATAAGAAAAATAACAATAATTTCGATCGTTTACGTTTTGCAATTGCCGAACAAGTGAACGTGGCTGGGTCATAATTATTGGCATACTATTATTATGTATACATCAGACCTATTAATGCTATTAGTCGGCTGTTCGACTTTTTCTTTCGATTTTCAGATATGTGTGCGGTATAAAGTTACTTCTTATTATTTCCTTAAAATGTGTACATGTGACCAACTCCAGTGACTACTGTTCGTCTAGACTTGAAAATTATATGTAAACTTATCTATAGCATGCAGTTAAATCTATATATATATATTGTAAAACGCAACTACCTGTATAAGATTGAAATATTTCAGATGTTTGTCGAACGTAATCACTGCATCAATTTTCCACGTCTATATTTTGAATGTTGATGTGAATGTTATACATACCACTTGAGTCGCAAATGCTGTACACTTGTACCTATATTTTTGCATTATTTTTTACAATCCGAATTCAGGACATTTCATTACAACTATTATAAGTATAATAATATATGGTTTTACTGATAATCTGCAATTATTCGAGAAAACGTGGTTTTGCAAATTGTTATACTTTGGATATTGTTGAAAATATTTGGCAAGCCAGATAAACAAGGCGTTAGTTTTTTGTTTGATTATACATTTTATTTATTGTATCTATAATTATTTAAATTTAAAAGGATCAAATTATCACCCACTTTGTCAGTTTGATGGATTTCGAAGAGTGTAACATCTGGAATGGTCGTCTGTATTTTAGTCGTCAGCCTTGTCATCCGGCCAACTATATAGTCGGTTTAATTAAAACTGTTGACTGAATAAATATTACAACCTAGGAGAACACGGGGTCATATTATAAAAAAAAAGACACTGCTACTTTAGAGACAAATAAACTTCGTTTTTAAACGCACAAAATCGTAATTATAATCGAAACTCTGTGTAACCGCCTTTGCGAGTTTTTAAGTTTCGAGTACTTAATTAATGATGAAATACTTAAACAACAAGTTTACATATGTCTGGTTTGCGTGTCCATGTTTTTGACGCGTTGGTTAAATGCGTCAGAGTTACCGACCGCTATTTGACATAGATCATTAATTTCCACCCTGAAAATAAAATAATAACTTGTATTTTATTATCTACGAGAGAGCGACAAAATGTCTCTCTCGTTCACTTATAATCACCCTCCTCGTGTTTTTATTTATTAGTTTCTAAATCATTATTCTTGATGTAACTTTTTGTCATAATGAACTATCTAAATATGGTGCTATACATATTATCTTTTTCCTTAACCATTCCTATTCCGGGCCCAGAGCCACTTCTTTCGTTTATTTTATTTGTGTGCAATCACACAGCATCTCCAACGATTTACTACCCATTCTCCAGTTTGGTTATATGTTAATATGTTATATAAATTGGGTAATTATGTTGAACTTTTTTTTCTCTTCTAAAAACCGTTGCTTGATAGTGTTCTTTTTTGGTTTCTTTGATTATTTGTTAGCCGATAAAACATTTTTTTTTTATAAGTATCTTATATTAGTAAACCATTTATCTAATATATATTTAATAATGATTTTATTCTATAGAAGAGATAAAACTATTGTTTATTTTTTACTACGAGTTAACTTGTTTTTGTATTATGGATCAAATACTAAAATAAACTCTCATACTTATTAGGTACCTACTTATAAGTATATAATAGAATATAGAATATAGAAGTTAAGTTACTAGCTAATGCTCGCAACTTGCGATTACATCTTACAAATTGTATTTTATTGTTTGTAATCCATACAAGATATTTTAAAATACCATGCATTTTGGTTTTGAAGGTACCTACAGAAAAAATCATTGTTTTGACTCACTATCTTCAGTATCATATCAATAATATTATTCAACTGGATAGTTGCACATACATTTGTTAATATCTATGTTAGGTTAGGTTATATAATAGTTATTTAAAAAAAATCGTTATTCAACTGTTATATTATATTAATTTGTACTTAAATTTTTAAAATTATAAACATTACGTAAATTTAACTGCGTAAATACACTGTAATACATGCAATATCAATAATATTCAAAAAGATAACATTCACGAATAAAAATAATGCATATTGTCTTATATTTATAATATTCTATAAACGCTGTATAATGTATACAATATTATAATTGTTATATTGTTATGTATTATTTGCGTGAAAGTCTGGAGATTTTAACGACGATTTTTTTCCGATAAATTAAAATAAAATATCGCACTTATTATTTCAAGCCAGTACATCGTATTAATGTAGGGAAATTAATATTTACAAATGATTTGCATATCCTCAATGTGTGGGTATACATATTATAATATTAATATAATATTAATTATAGGTATTTGTTTAATTATAAATTATGATTGTGCCATATTCCTCATCAGGTGGATGATGGACGTTTTAGAACGATAATATAATCTTTTTATTTTGGTTTATTTCAGGTGACCGCTGATCCCACAAACGTATCGGCTCATTCTCCAGATGTGATTTACATTCGACTCAGAGGTAACATATACGATAGTATAAAAAAGATATTATAGTAGGCAATCAAATTGTATTTTAAGTTTTCACACGCCGTCGCCTTGGCTAAGAGCCTGAAAGACGTACAACTATTATAATGTATTTTTTACGCACATATGTAGATTGTATGGATATAAGTAGTAAAACCCCAAGGCTGGGAATTTATGTTGAAGTCAAGTTATTTTTTTTTATAACTTAAAGAGATAATTTTGGATTGAACCCCGGTAGTTTAGTTTAATACGTATAACTTTTCATGCATTTAAAAAGTTATTTTATTTGTATTCTTTTATCCGCACGTACATAAAATCAAGTTTATTATTTTATTTTGTTAACAAATGTGTATAAATCAAGTGCAATAAAAAATTACCTCGACTTCAGATGTAAATATACCTATGTATTTATTTATTCACTTTCAACTCAACTGAGTTACTTCAAAAATTGAAACTAACTTTTAACTTGTTTTATTTCTTGAACGAAATCCTGAGTTGTGTTACAGTTTTTTTTTCTCGTCAGAAAAAAATGCTCTCCAATCATCGCAAGAACGCGTGTATAGGTACAACAAAGTAGAATTAATTATATTAATTTATATTAATTATATGCGTGTGTTCATCATCAGTTCTTTTGTATTTAATATTTTTCGTCAACTGCCGCTACAGTTAACCTATAAGTTACAGCCGAATGTTTGTGAGTGTGAAATTTTGGCATGAGAATTTTATATTATACTACCAGCTATAGGTACCTACTAATATTGATCGGCCGAAAAACGATTCGATGATTTCTATTTAAATCTGCAAAAGGTCGTTGCAGTGACAATAGACTTGAGCAGCTGTTCGCTACACAACCGCGTTGGTTGTATCGTACCTATATAAAACGAATTTGACGTGTGTGTGCGTGCGTGTGTGTGAAAGATCTGTCCATAAAAACCCACAGATGTCCAAACAACTCGAAAACGTCGTCGTTTCCCATTAGTCGACCAAGTTTTAGGGCACTTTGGTTTGTGTTTAACCGTACGTGTATCGGAACCGGAACCCGTGTGTGGAAATAAGTCTTGCGGCGTGACGGAATCAAAAATAACGCATCAGCCCCGAGCTCCGTGCAAAAGTTATTATTTAGTGAATTTGGCCCATTTTCCCGTGTTTACTGGAGTAGGACACGACGGCGGTGTGATGACCGTACGTTCCGGACTTTTGGTTTTGCGGTGTGACCGTCGGTGGGTGGGGGGGGGGGTCGCCAAATAGAAAAAACGTCTTTTGAATATTTATGGCACGTACCTATATACGTGTAAATCATGCGGCACAAATGCTCGCAGCAGTTTACCTGCAAATCATAATTTTTGTCACTGCTCGGCGTCGTTAAAAATATAGACGCGTCTACCCTCGTCTATATTTATAATAATATAGAAATATAAAATACTGCACCCGTGTGCACTATATTATACACTGACAATTTTCCAGAGCGAGATATTCACTCGGGCTTTATACACCGTGGTCTTTCAATCGGAAAAAAAAGATAGCGCTGGGTGTGTGAGCGTGTGTCGTCGTGTGAAAGTTTTTCCAGTGTGCGTATATTATTTTGCAGTAAACCGCCACGGCCGACCGCCGTATCGCAACGCAGGAAAATTATGTTTAAGTACGTGCACAGAACGTCGTTAATAAATCTACACGTACAATAATATTGTGAGCATTTGCTTAGTGACTACGCGTGTGTGTAAACTGACTAAACTGTAACCACCGATCGTTTGAAATGTGTCAAGGCTTTCGGCAGATTGGCCGATACGCAAACATATTATATTATCATAATATATAATGACGATACACACGGTGTAGGTGTAGCAGTTATTTTACAAACGAATACGCGGCTTATCCTGTGAACCAAATTGCACATTATGTGAAACAATGCATATCGCGTGACCTATAGCGAGTATAGTCATAATAATGCTTACGACTAAAAATCCTTTTTTATTTATTTATTATTTTTTTTTTGTAAATCATAGAGCATATAGACTATAGATCGATTTATTTTATTTTTAGTTCCAAATGTATGTATACAAAAAATAAAATAATTCTTTTCAATTAGGCAGGTATGAAAACAACAACTTTGCACAGTTGAATCTAATAATAATTTATCTATGCGTTATAACTTGTAAGTTTTAAAGGTAGAAATAGGTTTAAGTAGTTAACACATAATTAAAAATAATATTTCTGGAAAGTCTATAAGAAAAAGTTACTCCATAAATTACTTCTCACAAGAATATTCTCATCAAAAAGTAAAATGCCCCCGTACCATTGTCGTATTACACCTATTAACACATAATGTTATTTTAAAATATGATGTTAAGCAATAATATTTCTAACTATAATACTTGGTTATAAAAAATAACACTGGATATTAAAATAAATATGTAGGTAAAGGTACGCGATATAATTTTACAACAGCGAAGCGTTTATAGCTTTCTTTATAATACAACATAACCAATTTATGTGGAATTATGTTTTTATGGTTGGTACTATTAGTAAAGCTCTTATTGTAACATAAATGATAAAAAAAAACCAATTCTCGATCTAAGGAAACTGTTGAAGGTGTAATAATATCTACTTCAAAATTTGATCATTGTTCAATTAATTTAATGTTAAAAAACTGAACTATTATCTATGTACTATTTTGAAATATATTTCTGATAGGTAGGTATATAATAATTTATGTAAGTAGGTACCTAATAGGTGTTTAAAGTGATATATAGTTTTAACACAAATATTTTTTCATTTTACTATTTTTTTTTTTTTAAATTCCAAATTCAGACAATTGTAGAACCATTAATTATGACATGGCATTCGTTATCATTAGCCACATTTTGAATTTTGAAGAAGTATTTTTTCAAATATTAAATAATGAATGCATTCTAAAAGGTACTAGGTAAACTAATCAGTTATTCGACAAAAAAATGTTTGTTTTAATATATTATTATATTATTTGCCAGCTACTGAATGAATGACAAACATATCATTCATTATTAATGACAAGCATTTCAGAGAGTAACTTTCAGATGGTACAGTAATTATTTTTTCAAGCGCCACTCAAATAGCCGTCGAACCGTTCGTTATTAATTTATTGTTATTACTTATAACTTATTAGTGTTATTATTACAATTATTATATTACTAATTACCATCATTAGGAATATTGCTATTTCTAATGCTATTAATATTTCGTTATTACTAGGTGTACTACAGTGGAATTTATGTACACAATTACGTTTTTGAATTTCAACAATGCTTTGAATGATAACGATAATGTGACAGTAGTTATCGCACGTAAGCCATGATTAGTGGTTGATTAGGCATTAGTACTGTTGATGAGTTTTGTAAATTAGCGTTTTGACTGTAAATCACATTTTGATGTAATTACATATACGTACTTATGGTTATAACTATGTGTTCTAGAGCTAAATGTTAAACGAGTAGGTTGTTTTTATTATTGTCAATTTTTTTACTCAGGATTTAATTAAAATAATATATATACCTATATTTTAACATTAATATCAGTATAGTAATATTACTTAAACTTCAAATTATATGAAATTAAAAAGCAGAAAACATAAAAGTTTAATTGCAAATAGACTAACAAAAGTATATGTTTAAAAACCTTTATCTAGTTATAAACTTTGTTTAAAATTGTTATATTCCATGCATCGTCTAAACGAACTCATATAAGATGTAACAATATATTTAGTATTTTTATTTTATGTTTTGTCGATTGCGTATGTCCTTAAGAGACGATGACACAGAGCGAAACATTTTAATGATCAATGTCGTGTTATCCAATTGTGACGAGACAGCATAAATATATAGTTTATTTTTGAAAATCGGGTAATTCTACAATAGATATTTCGTGGAATTGAGTCAATTTTGTATATCTCTAAAGTTTTTTTGTATGTTGAAAAAGTGAATTTATATTTTATAGACTTTGATATTGTAATATAATATTATTACGCCCAACATGTATTTCAGATGTTATGGTGGTAATTGAAATTGAAATAATATATTTCTTGAAACATTATATAGAGATTCAAATTTCCAGCTTCAGCTAAAATAAAATTCACCCAATTTGTTTTAAAATATTGATTGTCAAAGTAAATACTTTTTGTGTTAACAACTAGGTACTTTTGAAAGAGATGCACTTTAACATTTTTCTATTTTATTCAAATTACGTACGTCGTTAATTTAATGACAAATAAGCCATCTTACTGCTAGTAAAAGAAACAATATTAAATTGTGTTACACTTGTAAAGACATATCAGTTATCACCAATAATTTGGTATGGTATGAAATCTTATAATTTATAAACATTTTAAACATTGATCACATTTAAGCTCCATCCATGTAAAATTTTAAAATTTTTAAAATTAATTTTTTTTCTTAAATGTTTCATCGTCTGCCAAATTAATTATATATTGATTATATAATGCTGCTAAATTCATACTTGAAAATGTGGTTTCAAAAGCGTTTAAGTTTTAATTATGTTTTTAATTTTAATTTTATATATACCTGTATTGTATAAATCATTTATTAATTGAAATTTTGGAGATTTAATATTTCTGGCTGATAAGTTTACTTAAATAAATTAAGAGTTTTGTGAGTGGTTGTTATCGGCGTTGTTGTATCGTCACCATATGTGTATCGTGTATCTAAGAACGTGTAGAGGTTGATAAGGATATGAGTGAAAATCGAGTAAGGGAAGAGAGGCTATATCATTTACTTGATTAAAACCTATTTTAATTGTGTACAAATAAAGGATAGCTATAAGTCGAATAATAAAGGTGCCATTCGTCAGATAGGATTTAATTATCAGAAAAATAAGGAGCGGGTTGCGTGTAAAACTTTTTAAGTTTACAGTACAGTTGTCTGGCATGCCACACCCGAGTACAGGTACCAAATGCTTGGAAACGTACAGAAAAAATTCTGTATAGAACTGTTTTTTTTTTTAATT